ATAAGGAAACACAAGAAGGAATATTATAGTGATTTATTAAATAAAAGTAATGGTGATATGAAAGCAACATGGCAAGTAATAAATAGTGTTCTGAAAAGTCATAAAGCAAAAACAGGTATTTCACAATATTTTTTGAAGGATGACGATGAAATCCATGATGAAAATGAAATAGTAAATTGTTTTAATCATCATTTTGTGAACGTTGGATCAAGACTTGCTGCTAAAATACCAAAAGTAGACAATAATGTGAACCATTCAGTTATAAGTTGTGACAACAGTATTTTTCTTAATGGAACTGACAAAGAAGAAATAATGAATGTAGTAAAAAATCTTACAGATAAGAGATCAAAAGACTGGGTGGACATGGATATGATGTTTGTAAAGGACATAATGAGTTATGTTATCGAGCCGTTTACATATATTTGTAATTTATCATTTTCAAAAGAAATATTTCCAGACAATATGAAAGTAGCAAAGGTAGTTCCTCTCTTTAAAAATGGTGATAAATGTGTGTTCAATAATTACAGACCAATATCCTTATTACACAGTTCTCAAAAATTCTAGAAAAACTATTTGTGACCAGATTAGATAAATTTATTACTAAACAAAACATTCTAAGTAGCAGTCAGTATGGGTTTAGAGCAAAAAACTCTACATCAATGGCTCTCATGGAAATAATGGAACAAATAACTACTGCTGTCGATCAAAAACAGTATTGTGTTAGTATTTTTGTTGATTTAAAAAAGCATTCGATACTATTGATCACACTATTCTCCTTGAAAAATTAAATAAATATGGTATAAGAGGACCAGCATTACACTGGGTAACTAGCTATTAAAAAGATAGGAAACAGTTTGTACAAATAAATGGTGTAAGATCTGACCTGTGCAATATCACGTGTGGAGTTCCTCAAGGCTCTGTACTTGGACCAAAGTTATTTATTTTATATGTGAATGACTTAGTGAATGTATCAGGACTCCTCAAATGTGTCCTTTTTGCAGATGACACCACATTTTTCTGTTTGGGTAAAGATGTAAAACGGATGTTGGAATTGATGAAGACAGAATTTGATAAAATACAAACTTGGTTTAAACTTAATAAATTATCATTAAATTTAGACAAAACTAAATACATGATATTTAGTAACAAAAAGAGAACTGTTGATGATCCATTTAAAATTGAGGGTGTTGAGATTTGTAGAGTTAATGAGATGAAATGTTTGGGTGTAATCATTGATGAACAGCTAACATGGAAAAATCACATCAAGTCTGTAATAACAAAAATATCTAAATCTATTGCAGTACTATAAAAAGTCAGCGAATTATTAAATGATAAAGCTCTGTACATGTTGTATAACACAATCATTTTTCCACATTTAATCTATTGCATTGATGTTTGGGGGAAAGCGTGTAAAACATTTACAAAACCTATTTTTATTTTACAGAAAAGAGCTGTAAGAATTATCACCAGAAAGCATTACAGTCACCCATCAAGCACATTATTTTATCAACTGAACTTATTGAAGTTCCATGATTTGGTAGATTATAGTATTTTATCAGTTATGTATAGGGCTCAAAATAACACATTACCATTAAATATCCAAAGAAATGTTGTTAAAAGACAAAGTTGTTATAATCTTAAGGGGATAGAGATATTTGTCAAACCAACATTCAGAACTAGTCTGAAGGGAAGGTCTACCTCAATCCAAGGAGTTGGATTGTGGAATGTTCTAGAGAGTGATGTGAAAAATGCCAAGTCAATGTGTACATTTAAGAAAAAGATCAAAGCTGGATTGTTAAAAAAGTATATATGAAGTAGCTTAGTGTGTGTTTTGTATTAGAATTAGAAAAATTAGAAAGTTATTCATTTTGTTCTGTTACTTGAAGATTATTATGATTGAAATAATTGTTTGAAAAAAGGGGCAGATATAATAAGATTTTTTCTTCTTTCTGCTGCCTTTCATTTTAAATCTTTTGTCTTTTTTATATTGTTATGGAATTGTTTTGTACTTTTTTAAAATGAATAAACTTTATACCATATAAATAAACTAAATTTAACTGAATTGAATTATATACACAGAGTAACAAGACACAACCACACACACCTAGACAGGACACACAGGTTGAACCGATCAGGAGATAAATCACTAGGAGAAAAACACCAGGGAGTGCAGGTTCAGGGTGACCAAATGAGGGGACTATCCTGACACATGCAGAGTGAAATAATTATTCTCACATATTTATTTAACACAAAACCCATTCTTCTCCAAATTTAGCATTTGTCAATTTGCTCATCCAAAATGAAAACAAAATGTACTCTACCTGTTGCACATAACCACTAATGATATTGTAAATCTGTGAATATGGCTTACTAAACTCAGTTAACAGATTCTTATAGCAGCAATCCTTTTTTCTACTCATGATACCTTGGGGGTTTCAAAGATTTTGTTTTTCATTTAAATAGTGACACACTCAAAGGAAGACAAAAACAGCGTTGCAGAAAAGTTTGATTTAGCAACAACTGATCGCATAATAGGTTGTTTGTACTACTGAAGACACATGGTCAATTATTATTTATAAAATTACAAAGATGAAAATGTACTCAATTCATAAGTGCACTGCCCCTATACTCCCACCTTTGACAACAGTACGTGGCCTTGTTGATCTGCTCTGAATTCCTCAGTAGAGATGTATATGATAACATTATTTTACTAACACTGAAGCTTGTGTGTGTGTGTGTGTGTGTGTGTGTGTGTGTGTGTGTGTGTGTGTGTGTGTGTGTGTGTGTGTGTGTGTGTGTGTGTGTTTGCAGGGAAAGGTGATGTGTTTGGGGATGTATTCTGGAAAGAGATGACATTGGCTCAGTCTTGTGCTAATGTCAGAGCGCTGACATACTGTGATCTCCACATCATCAAACGAGATGCACTACTCAAAGTTTTGGAGTTTTATGCTAATTTTGCCAATCATTTTGCCAGAAACCTGGTGCTCACCTACAACCTCAGGAAAAGGGTGAGTGAAGCTTTTTCTAATGTGTTCAGTCCCATACATTTTTCCTTCAGTTTCTTTATTGATCGAAACCAAAGGTGGAGGAAGAGCAATAATATTATTTCCTGTATGTGTATCTGTTGAGGAGAGGGGGAATTGATAATGTATTGTTGTTCAGAATATTACCAATAATCTAAATATCTAGCTTGCCATACCTATTTGTGCTGGCATAGCTTGCCAGTTTTTAAAAATAATTATTCATCCTTTAAAACCTACAGTTAATGTGGTGTATATATAGTTACCAGATTTCATAGCAATCAAGCTTGAAACTTTTAAAAAGGAGTCAAAAGCAGTTTTTTCAAGATTTACAATGATGCATCGAGCGTTTGGCTTATGCCATCTAATGCAGTACTGTGCTGGCAATATCCTGATGCATGCTCAATAATCCAGGTATAAAAATCTAAAAAAGTCAAATCTGTGATGGCAATGTGTCGATATAAGGCTTTTAATTGTGTAACTGTGCAAGAAGAAGAAGAATGGTGCAACTAATGGTTTAAGAGTAATGGCACAAAATGCAAAATGTTTAATGATTGAACCTCCTTGTTGAATGTGTAGGTTTTCTTTTTTTTTTTTTTACTTCATACACAAACCGTATTTGCCTTCATGTAAATATCATCCTAAACCTCCTTATAGTTTGTGATGCAATATGAATTTTATTTTACAAAAGATAAAGAACCTTTCAGCCCCCTGTCGACCTTGTGAACCACAAACTTTACCATGATAAGTAGTCTTAAGGCCCTTTTTTATTTTTTCCCCTTTGTCCTGTCCGTCATTGTGGCACTCAGAATTATTGTCTGAGTGTCAAGGTGATGCCCAACAGATTTACTTTCACAAGCAGAGCATTATGGCTGGCCTTAATGCCTCTACTTTATATATAAATAAAACCAACTATAAATTTAGACAGGTTAATCCCATTGAGCCTCGAGGAGTAATTTACAAGAGAGACCTGATTTTATCAAAGAGTGATGACAACAGTGGATAACAACGACAACAATAACAGCTTTAATTTTTTTGTTTTTTTTCATGTTTTGAATTTTTGCGTTTTACTTTGGGGCAGCATGGTGGTGCAACTGATAGAGCTGCTGCCTCTCAGTGAGCAGGTCCTTGGTTCAAACCCCGGTCCAGGGGCCTTTCTGGATGGAGTTTGCATGTTCTCTCCGTGCATGTGTGGGTTTTCTCCGGGTGCTCCGGTTTCCTCCCACAGACCAAAAACATGCATGTTAGGCTGATTGGTAACTCTAAATTGTCCCTAGGTGTGAGTGAGAGAGTGAATGGTTGTTTGTCTCGTTTGTCTCTATGTGTCCCTGTGATGGACTGGAGACCTGTCCAGTGTGTACCCGGCCCCTCGCACAGTGATTGCTGGACATGGGTACCGGCGACCCCCGTGACCCAAAATGGAATAAGCGGGTAAAGATAATGGATAGATGGATGTTTTACTTTGTTCTTTTATCTGTGTATAGCACTTTGGCCAACAGTGTTGTTTATGGATAACAAAAAGGATTGTCAGGATTTGAGCATTCTTCACAATTCTATTTATAAGAAAAACTTTTTTTTAATCTTCTAATTTATTATTTGACCTTAAAAAGAAAATCAGCTCATATTTCAAATGAATCATTAGTACTTTAAAGGGAAAATCAAATGACCATGTTTTAATTTGTTTTTTTGTTGGTTTAGTTACAGTGTTTTTTCAGTACTGGTTCCTGAGACAACCCAATTATCAAATACTCTGACCTAACATTTACAGTCTGTTAAAAAGCTCAAACCATTTTCTAGGCTGTGAGTGTGCATCCCAACATATTTATAATCAGGTAATGTGGGTAGGCACAGTTACTGTATGTAGTTATTTGCTAGTGAGTCATGGGGACTGTGTAGCTATGTGACAATATGAAATTTCACCACTGTTTGTCTTATTTGTGTGTCTACAGATTGTCTTCCGAAAGATCAGTGATGTAAAACGAGAAGAGGAGGAGAAGTTAAAGAGGAAGGATGAAGCACCTCTTAACCTCCCACCAGACCACCCAGTTAGACGACTCTTCCAGCGGTTCCGGCAGCAAAGGGAAGCTCGTCTTGCAGCTGAGCGAGTCAGTCAAAGTTTAGGTGATGTGGAGAAAGGTATTGCTCACTTGGAACCCAGGGGTCCACAGATACTGTCCTCCACCAATATTGTACTTATGACTGAGAGCCCATCCACAACCAACACTTTTTCCACCCCTACAACCTCTTCATTATGTAGGACCACTGGTCGAGTTATGCTCAATGCGTCTGTCATTCAAAACGGCAGTTTGGCTGGCTGTAAATCAGTAGACCCACCCAAGGCCAAAGGCAGGGGGCGATTCAAGGAGTTTGTTGTGAAAACTGAATCTTGGAACATTGTCTCCAAGGCTGAGTCCATGGAAATGCTGCCTGACAGAACTACATCTCAAGGTGAAATGTCACTGAAGAAAACTGATTCTTGTGATAGTGGCATTACAAAGAGTGACCTCCGCTTAGACAATGTTGGAGATTCCAGAACACCACAAGAGAGTAGTCCAGTCCAGTCGGATGAAAAAAAGGCGTTTTGTCCTATAGAAGCGCAAAACATTCAAACCTCTATTTCTGAACTGAAACAAGAATTAAGAGGGGCCATGAAATCTCTGAACAGTCGCATAGCAGTACTTGAAACACAACTTGCAGAACTACTTCAAATTCTCAAATCCAGAAAGTCTTCTGGGTCTTTTTTTGAGGTCTCTCGGCCACCCTCGCCTGACTCTGACAAAGACAGCTTTTCTTAAACTTGACCTAAATTTATTCTGAGGGAATCCATCCTGAACAATTCCACTGCCAGATTGCAGAGAAAAATAGCACCTGATTACACACAAACCAATGGCACATTCTGATACCTGAATTATATTTTTGTTGTTTTAAATGTAAATGTTTGGAAAAAGGAGAAATTTAGTTTTATTTTACTCAAATTGTTGTCTCTGACAACTTTGTGCTTTGTTGAAGGTTGAGGGATTTAATCTCTTCACTTTGTAGCATTAGCAATAACTGGCAGTGGTGGCTCAATTAGTAGAGCTGTTGCCTCTCAGCAGGAAGGTTGCTTGATTGAATCCCAGCCAGGGATCTTTCTGGGTGGAGTTTACATGTTCTTTTTGTGCTGCATGGGTTTCTTCTGGGTACTCCAGTTTCCTCCAACAGGCCAAAAACATGCATGTTAGTCTGATTGGTAATTCTAAATTGTCCCTAGGTGAGAGAGAAAGTGAATGGTTGTTTGTCTCGTTTGTATTTATGTGTCCCTGTGATGGATTGGAGACCTGTCCAGGTATCTCTGTGATGGACTGGAGACCTGTCCGGGGTGTACCCCGCCTTTCAAACAGTGACTGCTGGATATGGACACCAGAGACCCTTGTAACCAAAAAAGGAAGAAGCAGGTAAAGATGATGGATGGATGGATAAATGGATGGATGGACGGATGTCAGTTTTTGTAGTTTTAAACAGGATTTTAGCACTGTGTGTGTTCACCACTCGCTCCCCACGAGATCGGATGCTTCTCCCTCCCTCTCCACTTTGCTGCTCTGTCTGTGAAACTGCTGTGAGCCTCTCTTGCATTTCTTCTGAACCATAATTATGGACTTGTTTCGACCAGTCAGTACCTCATCTCAATTTACAACATTTCTTCGAAGAGAAGACAGGCTTTGTGCGAGCCGATTTACCCTGTTGGTACGTACGCAGCTGGATATCTCATCGACTGGAAGACTTGATGATGTGCCTATCTCTGCTGCCATCTGTGGATGTTAAGGACGCATATTTGCTGTCAGCCCCATCACCTTTAATGACTGCCAACTTCTCTTCTCAGGAATTCACACCTCTCAGCTCAGCCATTAGCCTCCCCTTTCATTCCAGAAGACTTAATTTCACAGCCCCCTTCCCCCACCTCCATCTTGTCCCTATCAACTCTTCAGGTGAGGAATGAGCTGTGAAAGATCAAGGTGCGTAAAGCTGCAGGTCCAGATGGAATCAGCTCCAGGCTCCTGAGGTGCTGCTCAGATCAACTGTGTAGCATCATGGGATTTATGTTCAATCTGAGCCTGAAGCTGGGGAAAGTACCACATCTGTGGAAGACCTCCTGTGTGGTACCGGTACCAAAAACCAAACATCCCAAGGACCTCAGTAACTACAGGCCGGTGGCTCTGACCTCACATTTGATGAAGACCCTCGAGAGGCTGGTCCTCAACAATTTGCACCACCTGGTGAGGTCTTCATTAGATCCATTGCAGTTTGCCTACCAGCCTGGCATCGGGGTGGATGACGCCATCATCTACCTCAGGCACCAAGCTCTGACCCACGTGGAAAAACCTGGAAGCACTGTGAGGATCATGTTCTTTGATTTCTCCAGTGCTTTCAACACCATCCAGCCAGGATTCTGCGGGACAAGCTGGAGTTATCAGGAGTGGATCACCACATGTCCCAGTGGATACTGGATTACCTCACTGGACGCCCACAGTATGTGAGGACACAGGGCTGTCTCTGACATGCTGGTCTGCAGTACGGGGGTCCCACAGGGAACTGTGCTGGCACCATTCCTCTTCACCCTCTACACTGCAGACTTCACCATCGACTCCCTACACTGCCATCTGCAAAAGTTTTCTGATGACTCTGCCAAAGTCGGCTTCATCACAGGTGAGGACGACTCAGAGTACAGACAGCGGACTCAAGACTTTGTGAACTGGTGCCAGCAGAACCACCTCCTGATCAACGCTGCTAAAACTAAGGAGCTGGTTGTGGATTTCCGCAGGCACAGGTCCACCTCACTGACCCTGGTGAACATCCAGGGTGTAAACATCAAGATCGTGGACTCTTACAAGTACCTGGGTGTTCACCTGAACAATAAACTGGACTGGTCTCACAACACTGATGCACTTTACAGGAAGGGTCAGAGAAGACTCTACCTGCTGAGGAGACTAAGGTCTTTTGGAGTGCAGGGGGTGCTCCTGAAGACCTTCTTTGACTCGGTAGTGGCATCAGCCATCTTCTATGGTGTTGTGTGTTGGAGCAGCAGCTTATCATCAGCTGAGAAGAAGAAGCTAGATAAGCTTGTCAAGAAGGCCAGCTCTGTGCTTGGACGCCCCCTCGACCCAGTGCAGGTGGTGGGAGACAGAAGGACTCTAGCTAAAATAACATCATTGCTGGACAACGTCTCCCACCCCATGCATGAAGCTGTTGCTGAACTGGAGAGCTTGTTCAGTGACAGATTACTGCATCCTAAATGCACAAAGGAGCGTTACCGCAGGTCCTTCCTCCCAGCAGCTGTTAGACTCTACAATCATCACTGCTCCCAACAAACTCAATAAGGATTAAATACATGCTGACCTCTGCTGAAACACACACTCTGCCTGTAATACTGTACTGTAAATAGTCTGCCATTCTCAATGTTCCAATACATATTGAACATTATTATTGATATTGTTTATCTTATTTCTTATATATTGTATTGTTTATTAACATTTTATGAACTTTTGTGTGAAATCTTTAAATCTTTTTATCTGTTGCTGCTGATACACTGGAATTTCCCATCCGTGGGATAATAAAGGCTGTTTCTATTCTATTTCTATTCCATTCTATTTAATTGGATTTTCGATAACTGGTTCCTGCTTTTTTTGGATTCAGCTAGTGCTGGTTTTATCTACAATCAAGGAAGTCGTCAGCAGCAAATTTGGACCCGATCACGCTGCTTGCCTTTATGATGGCTTGGTTCATGTTCTGGAGTACCCAGACTCAAATGCTTTGGGCTGAATGGATCAGATCTTGGGGATTTTTACTCAGACACGTTTCCATCAGTGTTGGCCATGTTAATTTGGACATTTTGGAACCAAGTAGACCGACACAGACTAAAGGTTGATGTCATTAAGTTCTGCCTGTCCCCAAAACAACTGTGTGTTTATCTAAATTTTGGTCGCCTGTCCTTGAAGGCCATCTTATCTAAAGTCGCCTGGAGAACATGTGATCTGATGCTCACCACCACCTCCCTGAGGAATTTTCAACTGATAACCAGATGAAACCCCGCTGAAAAAACTTTGTGTCATCATTTCAGGACTCTGGATTGTTATAGAGGTTATTCTTGGCCATTTCTCAACATACCTCGAGAATGTTTATGGATCTCACCTGAGGACATTGACTGATTACAGTGACCTCGAGAGCATCTATAAGCGTTGCTGACCGCTCTCATCTCTTCCTTCTTATGCTTTGCTCTGCAGAATGTCTACGTAAATATGTGCTTGTTTGTGCGAGGTGTTTTTTCAATATTAGGGGTTTTTCTCAGCCAAGAAAAAAGTCTGATAGGAATTTTTTTCGCCTCCAACTCCTACATGTGGCCAGTTAACCACTGTTTTTGTCTGTCCAAACAGGTCTCACTTGTTAATGAGTCTTCGAGGCTCAATGTGATTTATCTGTTTAAATAAAGGTTGAATGAATGAATGAATTTCTTTGCTATCTTTAACTGTGTTTGTGCCGATACCAAACTGAATTAAAAGTAAAGGTAGATATCTGGTATTGCTTTTGATCTACATATCACGTCACTGCAATACATTGCATTTTATTTTATTTCTACATACATCAAAGAATTTAACACTGAACACAGCAGTATTTTGTGTATTTGGTTTAGCATTTTGGATTTGTTGTATGCTTTATGCTGCTGTCTTGGTGAGGTCACTCTTAGAAAAGAGGTTTTTAATCTCAGAGTTATTTTTCCTGGTTAAATAAAGGATACATACATACATACATACATACAGCAGCAATCAACAACAATCTTAAGGCTACGTTTGGCAAACTGCAACTTTTACGGACACCAGCGTGGAGACTGCAGCGCTCAAACGGAAAGAGGAGGCGCAGTGCCCGGGGGAAGAAGAGAGGATGCCGGGCTGGTGTGCTGGTGAGGCAGAAAGCTAACGCGAGGTCCGGCAGACAGCCGATACAGTCTCTCTTTCTGTCCAATATCCGGTCCTTGGATAACAAGATGGATCTGCTTCGACTGAGCGCGAATGCCTCAGAGGAGATGAATGAATGTGCAATACAATGTCTCACAGAAACATGGCTAAAAAGCAACATGCCGGATTCAGCGTTTTAGATGGTCATCATGTGACCATTCTTGCAAGAGGGAATTCATTCAACCTTTATTTCTACAGGTTAATCTCATTGAGCCTCGGGAACTCATTTACGAGAGACCTGATTTCTTAGTAAAGAATGATGACAACAGTGAACAACAACAACAACAACAACACATAAAATAGGCAGAGGTATACAAATTTAAGTTTCTTTTTTTAACAAATCCAAACAATCAAAACAAAATATCAACCAAAAGGCAAGACGAATAGTAGCAAAAAACAGCTAGACTATAAGGTGATTTAGAAAACTAAAAACAGGAACATGTCTGCACTGGTTTTTGCCAGTGTCTCGCTTACCCGAGTGAGGTAGGCACAGGACATGTGCCACGCCCTCACTGCAGCTTTTCTCCTCCAAGGAGTCTAAAACTAATCCCGAGACTCAGGTATTACCTGTAACTGATTTCTTAGGACAGTCTAGTTCAAGGCTGTGTTGAGATGATTCACCCAGACTGTTGACTACCTCCGATCCTTGCACCACACCCAAAATCTCACCTCGTGCCTCGCCCAACCTAGCAGCAGGAGTAGGGACGTTTAACAGACGAGGAAGCGCAAGTTAACGGTAGCTCATCTCCTGATTTAGCATTGCAATTGTTAACCGATCTGGCTTTGTTTAGAATCTAGGCATAAGACTCTTGGATGTTTACGTCGGTGACGCGGTCCGCCGCTGTTGAACCTGCGAGCCGCTGAACCGAGCGGTCTGCGGCGGAGACCCAGTCCGCCGCTGTTGGACCTGCGAGCCGCTGAACCAAGCTGTTTACGGAGGAGACCCGGTCCGCCGCTGTTGGACCTGCGAGCCGCGGAAACCGAGGAAGCTAAACTACAGCTGTGGGATTTGGGAGCTGTTGCAACCG